GAAGTCAGTGAAGCTGTGTCAGCAGAATACATGCAGTACATGGGTTATTGTAGTCAGTGAAGCTATGTCAGCAGAATACATGCAGTGCATGGGTTGTGTAGTCAGTGAAGCTGTGTCAGCAGAATACATGCAGTGCATGGGTTGTGAAGTCAGTGAAGCTGTGTCAGCAGAATACATGCAGTGCATGGGTTGTGTAGTCAGTGAAGCTATGTCAGCAGAATACATGCAGTACATGGGTTTGTGAAGTCAGTGAAGCTGTGTCAGCAGAATACATGCAGTGCATGGGTTGTGTAGTCAGTGAAGCTATGTCAGCAGAATACATGCAGTACATGGGTTGTGTAGTCAGTGAAGCTGTGTCAGCCGAATACATGCAGTGCATGGGTTGTGTAGTCAGTGAAGCTGTGTCAGCAGAATACATGGAGTACATGGGTTGTGTAGTCAGTAAAGCTATGTCAGCAGAATACATGCAGTGCATTGGTTGTGTAGTCAGTGAAGCCATGTCAGCAGAATACATGCAGTACATGGGTTGTGTAGTCAGTGAAGCTATGTCAGCAGAATACATGCAGTACATGGGTTGTGTAGTCAGTGAAGCTGTGTCAGCAGAATACATGCAGTACATGGGTTGTGTAGTCAGTGAAGCTATGTCAGTCAGCAGAATACATGCAGTACATGGGTTGTGTAGTCAGTGAAGCTATGTCAGTCTGCAGAATACATGCAGTACATGGGTTGTGTAGTCAGTGAAACCATGTCAGCAGAATACATGCAGTACATGGGTTGTGTAGTCAGTGAAGCCATGTCAGCAGAATACATGCAGTACATGGGTTGTGTAGTCAGTGAAGCTATGTCAGCAGTACACATGCAGTACATGGGTTGTGTAGTCAGTGAAGCCATGTCAGCAGAATACATGCAGTGCATGGGTTGTGTAGTCAGTGAAGCTGTGTCAGCAGAATACTTGCAGTACATGGGTTGTGTAGTCAGTGAAGCTATGTCAGCAGAATACATGCAGTACATGGGTTGTGTAGTCAGTGAAGCCATGTCAGCCGAATACATGCAGTACATGGGTTGTGTAGTCAGTGAGCCATGTCAGCAGAATACGTGCAGTACATGGGTTGTGTAGTCAGTGAAGCTATGTCAGCAGAATACATGCAGTGCATGGGTTGTGAAGTCAGTGAAGCTGTGTCAGCAGAATACTTGCAGTACATGGGTTTGTGTAGTCAGTGAAGCTATGTCAGCAGAATACATGCAGTACATGGGTTGTATAGTCAGTGAAGCTGTGTTCAGCAGAATACATGCAGTACATGGGTTGTGAAGTCAGTGAAGCCGTGTCAGCAGAATACATGCAGTACATGGGTTGTGTAGTCAGTGAAGCCATGTCAGCAGAATACATGCAGTACATGGGTTGTGTAGTCAGGTGAAACTGTGTCAGCAGAATACATGCAGTACATGGGTTGTGTAGTCAGTGAAGCCATGTCAGCAGAATACATGCATTGTAGTCAGTGAAACCATGTCAACCATACATGCAGAATACATGCAGTACATGGGTTGTGTAGTCAGTGAAGCTATACATGGGTTGTGTAGTCAGTGAAGCTATGTCAGCAGAATACATGCAGTACATGGGTTGTGTAGTCCAGTGAAGCTATGTCAGCAGAATACATGCAGTACATGGGTTGTGTAGTCAGTGAAGCTATGTCAGCAGAATACATGCAGTACATGGGTTGTGTAGTCAGTGAAGCCATGTCAGCAGAATACATGCAGTACATGGGTTGTGTAGTCAGTGAAGCCATGTCAGCAGAATACATGCAGTACATGGGTTGTGTAGTTGGTGAAACTATGTTAGCAGAATACATGCAGTGCATGGGTTGTGTAGTCAGTGAAGCCATGTCAGCAGAATACATGCAGTACATGGGTTGTGTAGTCAGTGAAGCTATGTCAGTCAGCAGAATACATGCAGTACATGGGTTGTGTAGTCAGTGAAGCTATGTCAGCAGAATACATGCAGTACATGGGTTGTGTAGTCAGTGAAGCTATGTCAGCAGAATACATGCAGTACATGGGTTGTGTAGTCAGTGAAGCTGTGTCAGCAGAATACATGCAGTACATGGGTTGTGTAGTCAGTGAAGCTATGTCAGTCAGCAGAATACATGCAGTACATGGGTTGTGTAGTCAGTGAAGCTATGTCAGTCTGCAGAATACATGCAGTACATGGGTTGTGTAGTCAGTGAAGCCATGTCAGCAGAATACATGCAGTACATGGGTTGTGTAGTCAGTGAAGCCATGTCAGCAGAATACATGCAGTACATGGGTTGTGTAGTCAGTGAAGCTATGTCAGCAGTACACATGCAGTACATGGGTTGTGTAGTCAGTGAAGCCATGTCAGCAGAATACATCAGTGATGAAGCCATGTCAGCAGAATACATGCAGTGCATGGGTTGTGTAGTCAGTGAAGCTGTGTCAGCAGAATACTTGCAGTACATGGGTTGTGTAGTCAGTGAAGCTATGTCAGCAGAATACATGCAGTACATGGGTTGTGTAGTCAGTGAAGCCATGTCAGCCGAATACATGCAGTACATGGGTTGTGTAGTCAGTGAGCCATGTCAGCAGAATACGTGCAGTACATGGGTTGTGTAGTCAGTGAAGCTATGTCAGCAGAATACATGCAGTGCATGGGTTGTGAAGTCAGTGAAGCTGTGTCAGCAGAATACATGCAGTACATGGGTTGTGTAGTCAGTGAAGCTATGTCAGCAGAATACATGCAGTACATGGGTTGTATAGTCAGTGAAGCTGTTCCAGCAGAATACATGCAGTACATGGGTTGTGAAGTCAGTGAAGCCGTGTCAGCAGAATACATGCAGTACATGGGTTGTGTAGTCAGTGAAGCCATGTCAGCAGAATACATGCAGTACATGGGTTGTGTAGTCAGTGAAGCCATGTCAGCAGAATACATGCAGTACATGGGTTGTGTAGTCAGTGAAGCTATGTCAGCAGAATACATGCAGTACATGGGTTGTGTAGTCAGTGAAACTGTGTCAGCAGAATACATGCAGTACATGGGTTGTGTAGTCAGTGAAGCTATGTCAGCAGAATACATGCAGTACATGGGTTGTGTAGTCAGTGAAGCTATGTCAGCAGAATACATGCAGTACATGGGTTGTGTAGTCAGTGAAGCTATGTCAGCAGAATACATGCAGTACATGGGTTGTGTAGTCAGTGAAGCCATGTCAGCAGAATACATGCAGTACATGGGTTGTTTAGTTGGTGAAACTATGTTAGCAGAATACATGCAGTGCATGGGTTGTGTAGTCAGTGAAGCCATGTCAGCAGAATACATGCAGTACATGGGTTGTGTAGTCAGTGAAGCTATGTCAGCAGAATACATGCAGTACATGGGTTGTGTAGTCAGTGAAGCTATGTCAGCAGAATACATGCAGTACATGGGTTGTGTAGTCAGTGAAGCTGTGTCAGCAGACATGCAGTACATGGGTTGTGTAGTCAGTGAAGCTGTGTCAGTGCAGTCAGTCAGTGAAGCTATGTCAGCAGAATACATGCAGTACATGGGTTGTGTAGTCAGTGAAGCTGTGTCAGCAGAATACATGCAGTACATGGGTTGTGTAGTCAGTGAAGCCATGTCAGCAGAATACATGCAGTACATGGGTTGTGTAGTCAGTGAAGCTATGTCAGCAGAATACATGCAGTGCATGGGTTGTGTAGTCAGTGAAGCCATGTCAGCAGAATACATGCAGTACATGGGTTGTGTAGTAAGTGAAGCTATGTCAGTCTGCAGAATACATGCAGTACATGGGTTGTGTAGTCAGTGAAGCCATGTCAGCAGAATACATGCAGTACATGGGTTGTGTAGTCAGTGAAGCCATGTCAGCAGAATACATGCAGTACATGGGTTGTGTAGTCAGTGAAGCCATGTCAGCAGAATACATGCAGTACATGGGTTGTGTAGTCAGTGAAGCTATGTCAGCAGAATACATGCTGTTGGGCTCTTGCTGAGTCCTATTCCAAAACAGAAGGGATTGGGGTATTTTGAGTTAGTAATTTGCTATAAATGCTCATTAGCTTGGCACTTCGACCCCTGACCCTTAGACATGCCCCGGCCTGTTACCTCATGTGACCTCACGTAATGAATATATGTGGCAGTTGCCATATTGGAGAACACTAAAATCTATAATCTGCTATAAACATTGTTTCCTTAGAAATTTACTATAATGATCTTTTATTATCTGAAAATGTAGTTAGAGCACAGTAAACATACATTGTTGTATCTGAAATTGCCATACCTAAGAAACTTGGCATGTTTGTTCTCCTATAAAGCTGAGAAACTCAATGACTGTTTGCTCTGCTCAGCTGCATAGCTAACATTTGTAGTTTGCTTGATTATGTGAATATTAGTGGCGATTGCATATCTAAACATTGACTCCAGCACCACATTGTGTGATACTCAATTCTGATTAGATGTGAGCTCATCAAAACTGTACTTATGGCAGTTTAAGACCACTAATTAAAGTGACCGTTTCACCGTGTATGAATACAATGACCCTTTTGTTGATGAACAAACATGTCAGACGATTTCTACCTCGGCAGCATCTTTGATGTTTTTTAAGTAAAAAGCGAATGGTTTGAAGAATAATTTTTTTACCATAATCCCAGTGAAGAAACTATGAAGCTGGAAAATTTGTCAGCAGTGCAAAAGCGGCAGTATTCAAACCGTGTATAGATCCAGTGGGCATGACATCAACAAATTGAATAATTGTACTTGCTCACAGTATAAACGCGTTTGGCGTTAAAATTACATTTAGCGGTCTTAAATCAACGATAAAGGACTGCAAAATTGAAAACAGAGTATCTAATTAGATGAATATGTGTCATACTTTGTATTATATTGATGTAAAGAATTAATTTGATAGTTTGAATGTTAGATGTCAAGATTTAGTGAAACATTTTTGTCCTAGGTTTTGTTGTTAGGATGTTTTAACATGTTTTTGTGATTGAAGGAGCGGTGGACTAAAGGACACTCAAGTGGACCTGATCCTCAGCTGTGTGGACAACTTTGAAGCAAGAATGACGATCAATACTGTGAGTTGGGTTTCTTACTGCAGACTGAAATTACACATGATACTATGTAAGCAGTTTCATCACAATGGATATGTTGTAAATGACCTATGAGTCAGGTCAAGGTCACAGTGAGGGCCGGATATGAATTAAGTTTCTTATCTTTTTTCACTAAAATGCCTTGTTTTTCAGATCTGGTTTGGTCATATGAATGTAGATCAGGAGCAATTGATTGGTTCAACACTCACATTAGGGATCATAAGAACAATCAGGAGGTTCAGCAGGATGGGACATCTTTAGGGATTGTATCAATGTTCAAGACAATCAACAACTGGATTAGACAGAAAATCGACAAGCTAATCAGGAATGTTTGACAAGATTATTTCATCCTTTCAGGGAATTGTGTGTTCTGCAAGGACAGCCCCACCGTTTGGAGCTGAACTCTAACAGCAAAACAAGAACTTTATGAATTCATCTGACTCAAATGAGTGTTACATCCTAGTGATTTGCAGAAGATTGTTATTGGTGTTACCTCTATCATCAGTTTCTAGATTCCCTATATCTCCTGCGGAAATGATTGTTCATCTTCCACTTCTTGATCTCCTCCAATATTGACCTCAGCTTATTCAAATTTTCAGTCTGCCTCATCATCACACTAACTACTATTGAGATCAGGATCCTTCGTCAACTCTTGAATCAGTCAATTTAGTCGAACAACCATCCTCTTGGATCACTGACAGTTTGAGGCTACCATGAGGCTTCTCAGGAGAGTAATATGTGACAAGACTTTGCATTGTAAGACAGAGCATTGGGTCTGTCATACTTCTCCCGAAGGATGTTATCTTGGCATGAGCAAGAAATTAGACAAGACCCTCCCTTCTATGTGAAAGATACGTGATTGTTTCAAACCCCCTAGGTGATACCCATGGGTTTAGAGACTGACACTAGCACCCCTGAACATAGATCACTCCAGAACAGAGACATACTAAGTCTGAATCCTAAAGTCATACCTCACTGCATTAACAGGGACATAGTATCATGCTGGGATTGGTTTAAGTGACAGAGGTGATTGCTTTGACACTCGCAAGTGTTCATGGAGTATCAAGTTTACATTCAAGCTGCAAATGAGACATTATGTCCATGCGATGTTGGCGGTACCCCCATTTTAATAAAATCGGAACAGTTGGTATTAGGTTAGTATTAGGTTTGTATCAACAAACATGGTATTCTTTGGCACTCTTCAGCAATGCCATTCAGTAGTTTGGCAGAGTAGTGGAGAGTGACAGTCAACTCCAGTGCTTTGGAAATTTCATAGTAGAGCAATCTCTTCAGAATCAGAGAAGTCATTAAGTCCCAGCAACGTCGATCTCAGGGAGGCCACTCAATCCAGGCAAAACTGAATTAGTTTTGTGACGGAGGCGGTAAGAAAGGATGTGGTGGAAAATGACAGTGAAAAAAATAGTTTGCCATAGTTGCCTTTAACAATCCACAAGAGAGCAGTGATTGAGGGGAGTCGGCTACAAATGCTGGACCCGCCTATTCAGTGATGCCGCTTTAGATCAAAGCAAGTGTGATCTTCAGTTTCCAAGTAGGCAGATGACTTTGACAAACTTTGTCACCAACTTTCACTGAGTGGGATACAGTCTAGCACTCATCTCAACACCGATTTAGCACAAGTATCCACCAGCTCATTGACAGTTGTCCCAGATACAACAGGAAAAATGTTAAGCAAACAAGTGAGAAAATCAATTGGCCCTGATACCCTTATACCAGGCTTTACTTCTCAGTTTTCTTAATGCCTAAGCAAATATGAAATGTGCAAAAAGAATTTGTTTGAACTGTTTTGGAAATGTGAGGGTTTATTACAAACCCTATTAAAAGTATTAAAAGTCTCAATTGGGGAACATTTTAAAAGTCAGTCATGTCAAAAGGGACCATTTTCTTATGTTTAATATTATGCCTGACGTATCTGAACATGTTTTTAAATGTTCAAAATTTCACGTTTGTTTGACTAGTATGACAATGTGGTGTACTGATGCATTGATGTACCAAGAACTGAATGTTTTCATATTGTACATTCATCATTTTGATGAATGTCATGATGAGACCTGTATGTTGTGCTGGATCAGCTGACCACAGCCAACCAGTTTTCCTGCAGTTACAGCATCAGTTAGCACAGTCTTTCTTACAGTTAAATCTTTGAGCAATTTCTCTGTTGCTGGAGGTAGATGTGTATGAGTAGGTTGAAGTTTTAAAATTGCATTGTTCAAGAATAAGTGTCTCTCCCAATTCCTAGAAAGCGCGATGTAGTGTCAGATCCTGTTCTTGCATGTGCAAATGGAAAAAATGTAAATATTTAAGGACCAAGTTTTGTTTTCATTGTCAGTATGCTCCAAAATCATTTCTTTTTTCCGACTGACAGTGCTGTGTGAAGAAAATGTTATTAGATCTGAGATCTGCATGTTTTAAAGTAGAACAAGGAGATCTGTGTTTTCTCCAATTAAGATTGCCACTTTTTCTGCGCACATGACACTGCAGTTTACACCAGATATAAGGAGAACATATAATTTTTAAACTTATCCTATCTCACGACTTGCACCTCTCTCTCTTCATTCGACCATGAGTGGAAACGAATTAAACTTTGCTCCAGGCCTTCCTTGTCCCTGTCCCCCGTGCTGTGCATGCCTTCCTGCCTTACCCATGCTCACTAGGCCGTGACAGCACGTGGCATGCGCAGTTCTCACCCACGTGATCACCTTCCATACTCATTCTTTTTCTTGTCGCTCCACAGAGTGGACGTGAATTTTTTTTTCGTCTGATAATTGCTCAAAATGGATAAGCCTGTTCAGGCCAGTAAACGGAAGTTTTTAGCCCGTTGTAATAAAGTCTTTTCAGCTTGGGACCTACACACATCATGTGTTGATTGTGTGGGTTGTTGTGATTGGGACACACGTTGTCCTAAGTGAAAGGACTGTCTAATGAGGCTTTTAAATCTTAGAAACGTGCTTGTGCCAGACGTTTGGCAGATAGGGCTAGGAATGCTTCTGCGGGGTTTGGTCCATCTCCCGCTAAGAAACAATGTTTAGATCGCCCCACCCTCCCTGCTCACCGTTCTAAATCGCCCGTCTCTCTTGACGAGGATTTTATGGACGCTTCGTCGGATTCCTATTTGTCTGAGAACTTTAAAAGGCTTTTTGGGGCGCTTCCCTCACCTAGTTTAAGTTCTCATGGGCATGCCAGGGTGGTAATGACTGATATTTCCTCTACGCAAGACCTGCGATCTACCTTATCTCGTAGATCCGTTTCTTCGGAACGTTCACAGACTTCGAGAACTTCTAAGTCCAAGCATTCATAATCGAAGCGGGGATCGGCGCGGTTGGAACGTAACCGTTCTCCTATTCCTAAGGTTTCATCCCAACGAAACAATTCACCCACACGAGTTGAGTCACCATCTGGTGCGAAAGTTCAAATGCGTTCTTCTACTGCTGGGAGGAGTCATTCTAGATCTCGTTCACGCTCGAGCTCTTGTCGTCCTTCCAATGTACCAGTCCAAACGGATTCACCACCACGATTCGTTTCACCACCTAGCCGTGCAGCCAAAGGTCGAACGAGTTCACTCAACCGAACCGGCTCACCTGACCGAACTGATTCACGTTATCGAATGGGTTCACCAGGACGAACCGGTTCACATTCCGGAGCCGGCTCACTCTGCCGAGCCGGCTCACCAGACCGTTATCGAATGGGTTCACCTGACCGAACTGATTCACGTAATCGAATGGGTTCACCTGACCGAACTGATTCACGTAATCGAATGGGTTCACCTGACCAAACTGATTCACGTACTCGAATGGGTTCACCTGACCAAACTGATTCACGTAATCGAATGGGTTCACCTGACCGAACTGATTCAAGTAAAATCGAATGGGTTCACCTGACCGAACTGTTTCACGTAATCGAATGGGTTCACCAGGACGAACCGGTTCACATTCCCGACTCAATTCACCTCAACATGTGTTTCAGTTCGACTCACCATCTTATGGTCGAATCAATTCACCACAGCGTTTTGATTCCCGTAGTCGTTCAGTCTCACCTAGTCGAAGTGGTTCACCATTTCGTTCCGGTTCACATAGCCGTATGGTGTCTTTTCGTCAGTGGGATTCTAGAAGTCGGTCTCATTCACCTCAGGTGAATCAGAATATCCCGTCTAGTCAGTCTAGGGCTAGTGAGCACTTGCGGTCAGTGCCTTTACATGATAGTACCCCTCATCAACATCGTTCTGTGCGGGTTGTTTTGGCATATCGCTTTGTGTTGCCAGCTGACTCACACAGCCGATCTACATCGTCAAATCGCCGAACCGATTTTCCACACTGAATCAGTTCGCCATACCGAATGGATTCACCAGACCGAACCGTTTCGCCACGCCGTATGTGGATTACGACATCGACTCAGTTCGCCATAATATTAAGACGGTTCACATCATCGATTCAATTCACAGCACCTAAACGATTCACCTCGTCCGGAACATTTCACCTCGCCTCACCAGTTCATCTGAGCATTCTAGATCTCTCCATCAGCTGAGACCATTTAACCGTTTCGGATTACCGAACCAATCCAGATCACAGTCATGATCCAGATCACATCGGACTGATTCAGATCACGTCAACATTCCGGCTCACCACCCTGAACCGATTTACCAGCCCGGCTTGTACCGTTTCACCAGGCCGAAAGCTCCCTATCGTCGAACCAGTTCACCTGGCCGTTCAAGATCACTGAATTGTCAGCATTCATCGAACTGTCAGCTTTCGTCAATAATCCGTTCCTCGGACCTTGCCAGCAATTCAGCTTATTCATGAATTGGGCGATTCACCACTCGTGTTATTTCCAACACGGCGCATCTTACCAGCCTATCAGAACCTATGCCAAATGTGTCTGGGATGCCTTCCAGGACACTTAACCCACATCGAACATCGGGCTACGCCAGTTGCCAATAAGATGCAGGAATGGTTTTGGTTGATTCGACACACATGATCGCATGGTTTGCCGACCAACTACAAGCTACCTAGAGCAAGATACCAGATGTTCAGCATGAAGGATCGGGACTTGTCAATTAACACTGGTTTTCCACATCCTCAATGAGGTTCGTGAACTTGCATCTAGATAGGGCCAAATTTGTCGAACTCTGCTAGTTTCCATTACGATCATAGTTTTCAGGGCAGATGTGCGGCGCTGATTTCCTCATCACGAAGTGGCAAGCTCTAAGATCAACAATTTTAATTGTTTATCCGGTTTACCTTTTGGCTTGTGGGGTGCTTAATGTTTTTAGTCCCATAACTTATCCCACCTTGTACCCCCTGTTTCGGATGGTTGTACAGAGGTAGTAGCTATGTGCTTCACCATGCCGAATTGATTTACATGTGATGTCAGTAGCGCAGTCATCTAGAGATATCATGCTCGGCACTTGACGGTCTGACGATCCCAGTTCTCAAGAGTCCTCCGTGACCGAGGCTCATCTCATTTCAGATTTAATCTACCATCCGATCTTCACCTTTGATGAATGATTCGGTTCAACGATTCTACCCTTCGGTGTAGATATCAGTTCTACAACCACCCGATATGGCATAACTAGATACGCTTGCTAGCCAGGAATACTTTACGACGCTCCGATGAGTCTTGTTACTACAGACTACTGGTAACAGCGTGTTTGTGTATCGCTGGGTGCAATTGTTGCAGATGGTTCCTCATCTTCAGCTCCCTTTGTTTTACATGATAAGCAAGTTTCTGGACAGATAACAAATGGGTGAAGTTTTTGCGCATGGTACCAGCAGTGATGTTTTGTCAAATAGCCAGCATAGTTCAGCCCGGAATTTATGGGTTGCGACTCACCCGGTTAACCGAAGACCATGTTGTCCGTTTTTTTTGTCACTCGTGTGTAACGTTTGCAAATGGCGGACTACTGTTTGTTTACCGGAATTTTGATGATTAGAGTGAGTATGAAGTGCCCTTGCAGACGTGTCTTGGTCCCACGAATCGGATACCAAGTCCAGCCTTTAAATGCAAGTAACAACGACCGCTGCCATTCCCGGTAAGAGTGAATGTGTCGGGATTTTGACAGCCAGTCGAGAGAGACTACTTATCGAGGGTGACAGACAGAAACACCCGTGAACGGTTTGACTAGTTCACTGCAGTTATGCAAGGACTGTCACCAGGCAGCGATCTACTACCTTTATCACTCCACCTGGCGCACCATTATTTTGTTCGGCCAACCGAAACGTTCCTGAGGTCACCGATCGTACGAATTTCTACAATTCGTTTACAATGTGAACGTTCCTGTAGATTGACTGACAATCTCCATGCGCCGAACATACTACATTGAGCACTCCGTCAGAACTGACGTAGTTGCTCGACTTATTGAACGTTCTTATATCAAGAGATATCTTTTTGTCAGAGGCAAGAGTGGTTAGACCTCTCATTTCCCTCGACCTGCGAGGGCTGTGGGGTAGCCTAGTGGTTAAAGCGTTGGCTCGTCACGCCCAAAACCCCGGTTCGATCCCCACATGGGCACAATGTGTTAAGCCCATTTCTGGTGTCCCCCGCCGTGATGTTGCTGGATTATTGCTAAAAGCGGTGTAAAACTAAACTCAGTCAGTCAGTCAGTCAGTCAGTCAGTCAGTCAGTCCCTCGACCTGTGAGATGCCTACCTTCACATCCGGATACATCCAGACTATCCAAAGTATCTTCGATTTACTTTCAAGGGGCGTCATTGATACCAATGGAGGGTCCTGCTGTATGGGCATATGTGCGGCCCCGTGGCTGTTTACTCAGATACCCATTCCGATAACAAACAACCTGCATTTTCGAGGCGTGACATTTGAGAACTATATCGACGACTGTGTTCAAGCCCAGCAGGATCCAGCCGTCCTTCCTCTCCACAGGCAGTTCATCATCAAGTTGCTCATGCAATTAGGATGGCTGCTAAATTCGAAGAAATCAGAGGTAATACCGACCCGATGATTTCTTTTTATTGGGACAATATTCAACACGACAGGTCATGATGTTTGTGCCTCAGGAGAGGTGGGACAAGATTCAGTGCAACGCACCACTAGTGCTGGTCCAACCCACACCTTTTCGCCAGTGGCAGAAGTTACTAGGGTGGTTGACGTCGGCACAAGCGCTGACTTACAGCGGCCAGCTGCAGCTCCGCCCTCTTCAGATGTTTCTGTGCCCATACATCGAGGACGACAACCCCAGGGAGTTGAATCGTCTTCCCGCACAACTACATTCAGTCTTTCGTTGGTGGTTCAACAAGTGGAATGTTTGTGTTGGAGTTTCTATGGTGCCCTTCATACCGACTCAACACCTGTTCGTTGACACATCTTTCAAGCTGGGGCGCTCACTTTCTCCATCAAGTGGCCTAGCAGTGGTCATCAGGAGAAAGGGCCCTTCATCACAACGAATTGGAATTCAGCACTGTCATTATCGCCGTTCGGCATTGGGCAGTTACACTACGGTTCACTCATATACTGATTCAATCAGACATTTCGATGGTAATTTTGTACATAAACCATCAGGGGTCGACAGGATCAGCAGCTCTGCTTCAGTTGATGTTTCGAATTTATCATCTGATCGATTCCCTCCACACAGTGGCCAGAGCCCGACACATTCCCAGGATGAGGAATGTCATTGCCGATGCCCTGTCACTCACGGAGTGGAAACAACTGCCTCTGACCTTCCCCTCAAAGATCTACCTGTTATCACGACCAGATGTAGACCTGTTCGGCACTCGGGACAACCATCAGCTTCAGCGCAGATGATTACCAGTTGCGATCGTTTCTGCTTTGTGTACAATCTGAATAAAATTCTGAATTTTATTTCTGATTTGTGTCTTCGATTCTTCTGGGACTTGTGAGTTTTCCGATTCAATTACCCTTTCACCCTCCACGGGACGGTGTCTGTGGGGGTTGTTTCAAAGCAGCGGCTGGCCCGATACTGGTCGTCAGACCTTGGAAATCGTGGTAATGCGACTGATTACACTCGCTAAGCTGCGTCCTTTCATTTTCGTGAAGGTAGTGACTGAACACCACATTGCTCGGGAATCCCGGTCCCTGGAGCACTTGTGCTTAGTAAGTCAATGGGTTCGAACTAACCATCGCATGTCTCGCTTGTCACCTCACTTACTGTCCTCTGCTCCACGGAGTAATTACGTCAGTGAAGTGAGTCATTCCCGAAGTGTTACACTTCGTAGCGTTCATGCTCCTAAGTACCTATACACATCTATGTGATCTTACTGTGGTAAGTAGTGGAAGTCATAAGATGATGTTGTGGTACTGAACGTTAAAATTGTGGGGTTTTCCGATTCAATTACCTTTTCACCCTCCTCGGGACGGTGTCTGTGGGGGTTGTTTCGAAGCAGGGGCTGGCCCGATACTAGTCGTAAGACTTTTATTACGGGGGTACCTTGAAAATCGTGGCGATGCGACTGATTACACTCGCTAAGCTGCGCCCTTTCACTTTGTGAAGGTAGTGACTGAACACCACATTGCTCGGGAATCCCGGTCCCTGGGAGCACTTGTGCTTAGTAAGTCAATGGGTTCGACTAACCCTCACTCGTAGTAACTTTGGTAGTTATTGGCCTGCCTTGTAGTTGCTTCCTACGGTTGTTTTGGCATAACGCTTAGCTGTTATGGCTTGAACTTCGGGTAATCTATGACCCACCTTCCTACCGTGGGATAAGTGCAAGTCGTGAGATAGGATAAGTTTAAAAATTTGGAAATTTTAACTATAAATTGTATATTTATATATTATCCTATCTCACGCGATAAAGTCCAACCCTACCTCCCCACTACTTAGATTACCACCGTTCCGGTTTTGTCCTTTTATGGCTCCAAGATCGAGAATGAGTATGGAAGGTGATCACGTGGGTGAGGACTGCGCATGCCACGTGCTGTCACGGCCTAGTGAGCATGGCTAAGGCAGGAAGGCATGCACAGCACGGGGACAGGGACAAGGAAGGCCTGGAGCAAAGTTTAATTTGCTTCCATTCATGGTCGAATGAAGAGAGAGAGGTGCAAGTCGTGAGATAGGATAAGTATATAAATATACAATTTATAGTTAAAATTTCCAATTTTCACTTCTATTAACTGAATTCCTGTATTTCTTAAACCAGAAATTTGACATTGAAGAAGTTCTAAATGGCTAATTGAGTTCTTTGAGGGTATAAAAGGACCATGGAGCCTTATGTCGCTGCTCGAAGCTATATTTCAATCTGTCTTTGTTGGAACATATTTCCATCATCAACACTTGATCCTTTGAGTTGCAAAGTGTTGCATGACTATCCTACTATATTGTTGTAGCTTATGTATATGTAACATGATGGTGTAATGCAAGGCTTGTTAATGGACCACGCTTTGTGCTTCTTAAGTCTTTCAAGGAGATTGTCTTTGAAGGCTGTGATTTGTTTGATGTTGCAGGCATGTAATGAAGTTGGTCAGCCATGGATTGAGGCTGGAGTGAGTGAGAATGCTGTGTCAGGACACATACAGTTCATTGTACCAGGGGAGACATCATGTTTTGCTGTAAGTCATGTAGCAGCGTTTTGTAAACATGTGATTTCATAGTAGACATAAAGATGTTATTTAGCAGGTCTAAAAATACAGATTATTGTGCTTGCATCTCAAACGTTTTACATTATGCAGCATGTCTATGTAGAAAAATTTAAAAATATGTTTCAATTTCATACAAATGGTTAATCAACAACTTACAAAAATATTGATATTTTTGAATTTGTGTAGTATCTTGAGATTTATGTATCCTTTTCTGTTACTTTTCCACTCAAACCCAACACAATTACTTGTGATCCTGTCCCCTACTCCACTATTTGTGATGTAACTGGTAACTTCATTACTTCTGATCACGTTCCTTTCTCCCCTACTTGCAACCCTGTCCTCAATTGTATTACATGTGGTGCTGTCCTCTATTGTATTACATGTGGTGCTGTCCTCAATTGTATTACATGTGGTGCTGTCCTCTATTGTATTACATGTGGTGCTGTCCTCTACTGTATTACATGTGGTGCTGTCCTCTACTGTATTACATGTGGTGCTGTCCTCTACTGTATTACATGTGATGCTGTCCTCTACTGTATTACATCTGGTGCTGTCCTCTACTGTATTACATGTGGTGCTGTCCTCTACTGTATTACATGTGATGCTGTCTTCTATTGTATTACATCTGGTGCTGTCCTCTACTGTATTACATGTGATGCTGTCTTCTATTGTATTACATGTGGTGCTGTCCTCAACTGTATTACATGTGATGCTGTCCTCTGTTGTATTACATGTGATGCTGTCCGCTACTGTATGACATGTGGTGCTGTCCTCTATTGTATTACATGTGATGCTGTCCTCTATTGTATTACATCTGGTGCTGTCCTCTACTGTATTACATGTGGTGCTGTCCTCTATTGTATTACATGTGGTGCTGTCCTCTACTGTATTACATGTGGTGCTGTCCTCTATTGTATTACATGTGGTGCTGTCCTCTACTGTATTACATGTGGTGCTGTCCTCTACTGTATTACATGTGGTGCTGTTCTCTATTGTACTACATGTGGTGCTGTCCTCTATTGTATTACATGTGATCCTGTCCTCTATTGTATTACATGTGATGCTGTCCTCTTTTGTATTACATGTGATGCTGTCCTCTTTTGTATTACATCTGGTGCTGTCCTCTACTGTATTACATGTGGTGCTGTCCTCTATTGTATTACATGTGGTGCTGTCCTCTATTGTATTACATGTGGCGCTGTCCTCTACTGTATTACATGTGGTGCTGTCCTCTATTGTATTACATGTGGTGCTGTCCTCTATTGTATTACATGTGGTGCTGTCCTCTATTGTATTACATGTGGTGCTGTCCTCTACTGTATTACATGTGGTGCTGCCCTCTATTGTATTACATGTGATGCTGTCCTTTATTGTATGATGAACCGCAAAAGAAACGCAAGTTGATGTAGAAATGCCAATATTTCTGAATCTGTGGAACAAACAATCTTAACACTACGAAAAAACAACAGACAAGTGATTGTTGAAGAAATGAGTCGTGATCTCTGGTGAAAACAACACTCAAGTTTACTGTAAAAGCATATGTTATCACTCCACCCTCACACACCAAAAATGTCACGAAACAGTGTGTCAATCAGTAGCGCGTGCGACCACCATTGGCTGCAATGCAGGCAGCACAAAGATGTCTCATCGAGTCAACAAGTGTCTGAAAGAAGGCTTGGGGAATTTGATTCCATTCCCTGACCAATCTGGCTTCCAAATCGCTAAGGTTTTGAGGTTGAGCAGCTGTCTGTATCCGTCTACCAATTTCATCCCACACATGCTCGATTGGTGCCATAGCCGGGGACAGAGAGGGCCAGGGCAGTACAGCAATGTTGTTCCCTCTGAGGAAGTCCATAGAGACCCGTGCAGTGTGAGGACGAGCATTGTCCTGCTGGAACGTCTGGAGCTGAGGTTGGGCCTGGAATAGTGGTACAACGTGGTGTTGAAGGACCTGGTCTCTGTAGACTACAGCAGTCACACGTTGACGAAACGTCACGTTCTGTGGTGGTAGCTGAAGCCACCCCATACCATGAGACTCCCACCTACCCAGCGGTCAGCTTCCACAACACAACAGTTGGCGTAACGTTCATTACGTCGTCTCCATACGCGTAATCGGCCATTGGCATGGGACAAGTTGAATCTGGACTCATCAGACAACAACACTTGTTGCCATTGTTGACGTCGCCAACGCTGGTGTTGTTGCGCCCAACTGTAAACGATTTTGGCGGTGACGTTGCGTCAGAATCGGTCCGACGTGAGGACGGCGACATCTGATCCCTGCTGCCCTCAGACAAGCGGCGAACAGTGTCTGCAGAGATGTGGCGTTGTGGCCCTTGAATGGTTGCAGCTGTCTGTGTTGCTTTCGTTGCTGTCGGTTACGCAGATGAGTAACCCGGATGTGACGATCTTGCGCTGGCGTTGTTACCCTGGGGCGTCCTGAGCGTGGTCGGTCTCGAACATTACCGGGTTTGACGATACCTTCGCGGATAGTCTTGTGATTGTTGTCAAGTGACATCTGAAGTGCCTGGCCACTGCAGTTGGTGTGGATCCGGTCTGCAACATTCCAACGGCGATTCCTCGTTGCTGTTCAGTTAGGCGTGGCATGTTTTCTCCGCGTTGTCACAGTCAATTTTGTGTTCTATGGTGTTTTTTGGATGACCTGCCTTATAAAGCTTCAAATTGGAGTGAAATGCACGCATTTTTGTGTGAAACACAAAAACTTCATGCAAAAAACACGAAAAACATGAAAATGATTGCGTTTGGGCGATATGGTCAAGAATAAGCGATAACAACGGCAAAACCATCTTCGAATGCTTGGTTCTATAATGGTATACTTTGTTGTCCTAAAAGGAATGCATTTGGAACGTATGTTTTTAAAATAGTAACTTGCGTTTCTTTTGCAGTTCAGTATATTACATCTGGTGCTGTCCATTACTGTATTACATGTGATGCTGTCCTCTACTGTATTCTGTATCCCATTTTCCATCATCTGTGGTCCTGTCTCTTTATCCATTAGTTGTGGTCCTTTCCCATTATCTATTACTTCTGGTCCTGTCCCATTCTCCATCATCTGTGGTCCTGTCCGGTAATCCATCACCTGTGATCCTTTCCCATTCTCCATTACGTGTGGTCCTGTCCCATTGTACATCTCATGTGATTCTCTCTTCTGTTCAGTCCAAGAGCATGCTTTTGTTCTGAAGTGTGTCTTAGATAAGTTTTATAATTGTAGTGTGCTCCCCCACTAGTTGTGGCAACTAACACTGATGAAAAGACTTTGAAGCGGGAGGGTGTGTGTGCTGCCAGCCTTCCCACCACGATGGCAATTGTTGCTGGATTTCTGGTGCAGAATACACTCAAGTTAGTACAATATTTAATAGGGCAGTTTACAGGCTGTTGAAAGAACATGGTTTTCTGTGGCATGTTTAGCAAATCCGACATAGTGATAAGACGCTGTAAATAATTGTGAAACACCTGTTTGATAAATGTTTCAACAAGTTATCCTGTGCTTGACACAACAGCAAAATGATGACTAATAAACTAATACATGCTTTGCCTTATTTTTGACACAATAACTTACGAGGGGAGTTAAAAATGCAGCCTAACTATATTCTAAATGTCTAATGTTTGAAAAGCTTCCATTTTATTTTGAAGGAATCATTAGGAAAGACGCATCCAAAATTTCACATATGTGGGTAATGTGGTTAACGAGATATTAGTCATCACAACACATTGGGGTATAATATAGAATGACCAGAAATTGTTGAGAATTTTAGGAATATGTTTAATTGGATTTCTTCCATCTGCTCACGTGTTCTATGGAATTTTTTGGATTTTCCAGCAGGACAACGGCTCAAAACATCGTTCAAAGCATTCACAGGCCTGGTTTCGGACCCAAAATATGACATTATTAGATTGGCAAAGCTATAGCCCTGACCTAAATCCAATAGAAAATGTTTGGGGACTTATGAAGGAAAGTGTCACTAAGAAAATCTGACAAATATTGCTGAAATGAAAGAAGAGGTGGTCCGATATTGGGACAGCATGGACCATGACTTTCTAACTTCTTTGATCAGTAGTATGCCCCGCCGCATTGAAGCCTGCATTGCTGCCTACATTGCTGCCCATGGTGACTTGACAAAATACTAACTGTTCACCTGTCTTTGAATCTGGAGTTATGTTCTGCTAATATTCACATTTAATACGTGAGTAATGAGTGAAAAAAAATAAAAAAGTACAATCTTTAAATTCTCAATAATTTCTGGTTGTACTGTATTTCCAAAACAATTGCAGAAAATGAAAAACGATCTGTCATTTGGTACCACTTTGATAATGGTATGCCCTCAGATATTATCATATAAAATATGTTCAGTATATTATTGGATGACTTCCTGTCATAATCAACATTCAAGATTTGGATTGCTTGATTTATATTTAGACGGGCTGTTTTTTAAGGACACACCCATTTTAATCTTTCAATTGGCTTGTCACACCGAAGACCCGGGTTCGAATCCCCACATGGGTACATTGTGTGAAGCCCATTTCTGGTGTCCCCCGCCGTGATGTTGCTGGAATATTGCTAAAAGCAGCGTAAAACCAAACTCAGTCAGTCAGTCAGTTAATCTTTCAAAAACATTGTGTCCAGATATTCAAGCTGGCACTGTTTACAGTATATTGGGAACTGATACCTGTGTGACCATTCAGTATTAAGTTTGATCCCCTGGCATCATGTGTGAATAAATGAAAACATTAGAATAAGCTATGCCCTTATGATTACATCATCTGAAAGGGGATGGGTAGTGTCTCCAAGACAAGCTCTTTCAATCAACATGAATGGGGGAGTCACTTTAACAAGCGATTGTTGTTTCAAATTGCTTTTTTATGCACTTTAATTATCTAAGGTTGATTGTAGAGAACTTCTACCTATCTCAAACATAAATTTTTCTTGCATATTTTGTTTCCTGAAGTTTGTGATGCATTTATTGCAGATTTAGCGTTTTTTGAGGGTACCAAGATAAAAAGTCAAACAAAATGGGGATCGTGAGGCTGGAAGACAGCAAAAACAATTTGCTTGAGTTGACAGATAATATGTAGAAGAAATGTGATAATATGCACAGAAGACAAGTGTGAAAGAAATGTTAAAACATATTTTAAGTTACGAATTAACCAAATATACTCTTATAATGTAGCACATATATTGATGTCAAACTTTGCTAAATGAGAAATATGCTACCGGGCAAAATAAAGTTATCACCAACTTCACTTGACCAAAACATAGGAACAGCGCATTGAGCATTCATAAGTGTGTGGACATTTGCGCTTTATAAGTGACATTATTATTATTATTATTATTAAAACATAGGAACAAAGATATATGTGAGATTTATGATAATTATATTACAAACAGAAATCATTTTCCTATAATTTGACTTTAAATTCATTTTAGTGCTGGTCTTGCATTTGCCCCAATTCATTATGAGAGAGTCAAGGGGTCAAAATTACACAAATCAGAGTTCATTCAAAATGAGCATAAAGAGTCACAAAATGAGACAGGAGGAAGGAAACACATCATTAATTGTGCGTGTGACGTCCCTGGGCATTCACATATGCCAACACACATCTCCTCATTGATGTTGTCTTCTGGTGTCCCCTACCGTGATGTTGCTGGAATATTGCTAAAAGTGGCGTAAAACCAAACTCAGTCAGTCAGTCAGTCAGTCATTGATGTTGTCAGTTGCCTGATGATGTCAACATCAATCTTGTTCCATAAGTCCAAGAGAGTCTGTTCAAGCTACTCTCAGTTCCTGTAGTACACGCTGATCCCAGAGATGTTCAATGGGGTTCATGTCTCCTGTACGTAAAAAAACCTGTGTACTCTTCAATTGTTCCTGAACAGACTAAACCAAAGTTCATCTGTAAAGAGCACTCTCTCCCAGTCACATTGCTGTACAGTTTGTGCCCATTACAGTATGCGTTGACAGTGTAGATGGGTCAAGACCATTCCATGGAAGAGACAATAGCCTCATATACCAGCCATACCATGTTGTTGAACGACTGTTCATCAGCTGATGGCATATCCTGGTGCTGTTGATGTCACTGATGCCACAAGTCTCTTCCGGAGGTGAATCTGCCGGATCTAGCAGTCTTCGGACAGTGTAGTGACTCTTGATCTTCTTGATCTTGGGCGGTCTTGGCTTGGCCTGTTTGCTGGTAGCAGTTTATCAATTTGCTGTTTGTGGCCTGGCTGCAGTTGGGTGTCCTTGCCAGCTGATCATGTGAAGCCCTCATATTGACCATATGGGGTATCATAGCGCTTGCATAAGTCTTGGCATATTGGTGGTGTGTTTTTGGTTACTGCATGCTTACTCTGTCCGACATCAGTATGTATGCCACAACCATGCATGTGCATTTGGACCTATGTCCCACAATTACATTTTTCACGTTTTGAAAAATGCACGGTTCGAACACAGTTTTCAGACAGCTGCATTGTTATTGGGACCATGTTGTGTTTTGGCAAATGTTTTCTGCTTGGGTTCAAACCTGTAACAGCATTTTTGTCTTTTATACGATTTCTTTTAAAGTGATAACTTTCTTTTGCCCGGTAGTTTATATAAGTGAATGCCAGTACATGATGAATTTTTCCTTATCCTGACTCATGCTTAATTGCTTGTCTTCTTCTTCTTGCGAACTATAGTGGAACACTTGAATCCCCTTTTGAAGCTCCCTTAAGAAAAGTGGACGTAAAATCACTCACCCCAGTAGTCTCCCTTTACCCCATCTTTGGCGCCAAAAGTTGGTCACATGATCAGCCATGCTTGTCACTCTCTCCTTCTTCGCCCTAGTGGACGGTTGTGAGAGCGCCTGGGTCCCCTATACGGCATATATCGTTTGAATTTTAGGCTTTTATACTAAATTAAGCTGTATAAGGGCTTTATCAAGGATTACCAGCAATATGGTTTGAAATTTATTCTAAATTTGTCCGTTTTTCACGTTGTTGACAAGATGTTTCAAATTGTTTACATTTCATGAAGACTTGCATTTCTTGCAGGTTTCGGTTGTCAGCTGCTGATCCGCATTTACTATGTCCTAACTGCACTTCTATATGTTCTTCCAGCTTTCGCTGTAAACTTTGTCAACATTTATCTCAAATTGAATTTTCTAATTATTTATATTCTGTTCATAGACGTGCCAAGGACAGGTTGAGGCGACAATTACATGTCATGTCTCAACAGGGTGAATGCGTTCATAACCGTGGGTTGTTGTCTGTCGAGGTACATCATTCCAGTGAGCTGCCGGTGGCGTCTTCAGAGCAGAGGAATGAGGTTTCCGGCCCGAGGAAGAGATCGTCATCGGCTCAAAACCCTCGTCGCAGTCCAAGAAGACTAGGACATCGTCTGCTGTGAAGACTAAGCTGTCTTCAGACAAGTCTGCAGTCAAGTCGTCTATGGGGGCAACAAAGAAGTTGAGGTCCTTCGCCGCAGATATCATCGGACGAAGCAGACGTTTATGATGAGCCGCCGATCCTCATCCCGGAAGTACCGGTGAGGAAGAAGACGAGATCTTCTTCTACACTGACGTCAGCAACTATATCAATGCAATCAGACGTCCTATCTACACGGACTGCAGATACCAGAGAGGACAGGCAGTCTATAGATGACACCTCAGCACTGTCAGATGCGGCGTCATCTGTACAACAACTCCAGTTATCAGCGCAGACCTTTATGCAGCAGTTTACCCAGCAGATGATGGAATGAAGGTTCGCACAGGAGAAGGCTGCAGAGAAGCGGACGAATCTGCAAGGAGGACGAGCATCGTCTACACCTCATCGAGATGAAGGAAGCAACCTGCGTGAAGGGAACGTTCGTGAAGGGAACGTTCATGAAGAAGACAGCACTCATGACAGCAACACTCGTGACGGCACTCGCGAAGGCATTCGCGGAAGAACCACTCGTGAAGACACTCATGGAGACAACAGTCGAGAAGACAGCATCTGCGAAGGCATTCGCGAAGGAAGGAACAATTATGAAGAGGCTCCTGCAATAGTTGAGGAGCATTCGCGAAGGCATCGCAGATCATCCTCATCCTCAGACTCAGACAATCATCATAGGTCTGCGCGAATGTCCCGTAGAAGAGAGTATACACCTTCACGAAGGCATACAGCTCACAGAGACAGTTCACCTTCGCGCAGGTCTTCAGGAAGGTCTTCATGGTCGCAGATACAGATCACCTACCACATCTCCAGGAAGGCACTCGCGAGTGCTAATGGTTTAGAGCTTGCATCACCATCTAAAGAGAATAATGAAGCATACACATACATGATGTCTAACGACGATTTTGACACGCTGACGCTGCCACCAATA